ATTTTTCAAATCCTCTTTCGATCGATTCGATTTTGATGTGTTTTGTTAGTAGTTATATAAACGTGATTGGAGATTAAATAGCTCTCAAAAAAGGAGATTTCATATCGGAATCATTTGACGGTTGATTGTTGATGGATGATGCTTCTCTGGAAATCGATGTTGTAAGATTTTGATATATGAGATTTGTTGACAAAATTTGGAGTTAGAGTGTGTTTGTGTTGATTTCATATGATGAATTGTGTTCGCTTTAGGGGATTTTCGCTAGTCGGATTCAGAAGATTATGGACGAGAAGTTTCTGAGGTTGGTGAACAAGAGAGTGATGCAGAGGAAACATTTGGTTTGGGACCTTTTCGTGGACATGATGTTGTGGATACGTATCGATGGAAAGAAGCTCTTACGACCATGATATCGTGGACACGATTCGATGATCAGATGTTCCGATGGACATAATATCATGGGTATGGTTCATGCTAGTTTTCATGGTTATCAGCTTCGTGTTCAGAATGGTTCTGATTGATCTTATTATCAAAAGCCGGGTTTGATGTAAAATTTCTTGAATTTGAACAAACATCTTTTGGAAATTCTACAACAATATACCATCCATTTTTATATGATGTGGTGGACGTCTTAAACTTGAACAAAACTATTTTGAAAATTGTGCTAATTATATACAAAGAAGAAGAGAATGAAAAGTTTTTTCTTCACGGGATGAACATGTGGATGTCGTGTGGTGGATGCTTTATCTTGCACAAATTTGTGCACGCAACAGAAAACAAATCATGATTTTCAATTGCATTTTTGACGTGATTTCCATTGTTATTATTGACAAAATTTAAAAATTTCCAGTACGATGGTGGAGTTTCATAGATTACAAAATCATATGTCGTCCACGCTAAGTCGACCACAATCATTTATCCATGCTAACACATCCACAATTTTTTATCCATGCAAAAAGGAGAAACATAAGACAATAAGACCACTTATGAACAAAGAAAGAATGTAATCTCATGAATCTAAGCTCAAGTCTGTGCCTATTTGTCTGATCACAAAGCTAATCTCATGAATGGTACATAATTCGTTGCCATCTCCGCAATTCTTTACAAGTTCTTCAATGGCCATTTTACCATGATCAATATGGATAACATATTACCTAAATAAACACAAACTAAGGCATCAACTAGAAAAATACCGAAAAATCAATTTTTTTCGTTGTGTGAGGGGACCTTGTGTGAGTTTTTCTTTTGTGATAATACAATTTCTAAATTGCAACATACAGCTAAATAGATAATTTGTGAACCAGGTAACTTGTACCATGTAACTATGACTATTTTGTATTATCCATATGGATACAAACTAACACAGCAATTGAATAGATCATATCAATACAAACTTGTTCTCAAATCCTAAACTACCTAACTTGAGTTATTATCAAAAATAACAAGAACAAATCATGGACAATGCAGAGGATGTCGATGGTGGAGGCAAAAGACAAAGACGTACGTAACTATGTATCTCCGAAGAGAGGAGATTAGAGAGGACGTAGGAGACAAAGACAAAGGCGAGATCATCCGATTTTAATAAATCGATGGGTGAGATTAGATCTTAGGGATACAAAACACAACAACTTTTTCAATGGTAGCCACACAATCCTTTTTCAATGGTAGCCACACAATCTGTTTTTTTATGTAACCAATCCCACTTCAATATAAGTCGTTAGATTTTAATGAATTCGGAGGGTTGAGATCGTAAAAGAAACATCCACTAACAATAGACATAATTTATAAGAACCGTCAGATTTTAATGAAAATGGAGGACTGAGATTAAATAATACCCAACTAGAAAACAAAATATTTCTAATCCATCCCTTAAAGGGGTAAATTTGTCCGAAAATGTCTCGTTTTCTCTCAAAGTTTTTTTTTTTGCAAAGTACCTTATATTGTAGGAAAACTAGGTCCATTATTATTCTTGTTAGACATAATTCATTATCTAACATTAGGTAAAAAATAATTTAGTATCTAACATTTAACTTAATTAAAATTTCTATTTTACTCTTTTTTAATTATCAAACTTTTTCCATGAAAAAAAAACATAAAATCCTAATCTCTC